TAAGCATGAATAAAAATAAAATACTTCAGGGATATTCCATAAATGGTTAATCTCCCCTTGGTTTTCTTCCCCCTTATCCCTCCTGAATAAATATAACAAGCCTAGTAACATGCAGGTCTAGTATCAAGCACATACTAGTGACTTTGAAATTAAATAAAAGTGGGATTGGTCATTGATGGTATTGACGGATACCGATGGATATCTGACAATGCTTCTCTATATATCTAGATTTTTGCAATTTTTGTCATAAATGAAGTACCAACTTGTATTGTTTTATACAGAGAGGTCAAATGCAACTGAACCTTTCTTGTGTACCCTTGTACAGGTTTGAGGAGTATAAAAGATATGAGTAAGAGGGGGAAGATCTGGCAGAACCTAATCCCAAACTGTTTTCTTTGCCTTGTATCTTACCAGGAGAGTCACTGGGGCAGATGCCTGGATTTAATGTGAATTATTTTAAGCCTTTTTTTGAGGAAGCTGCAGGAGCACAGCTATAGTCAAAGAACTTTTCAATGCCATCATCACCAGCAACAGGTATTTACTGAAAAATCAAGTGAACCCTTTTCTAAATATGTAAGTAAAAGACTTGCAGGCTGGTAAAGCATGAGAAGTGGTGTTGCTCAGCAGGCTGGGCACAGGACTGAGTTTGAGATGACCTAGGTTCAGCACTTGGCTGTGCTGTGGACCTGCACCCTTTGACCTTGAGTTTAGGTCTTTCTCTCTTACCCAGCCTCAGTGTTTGTCTAGCTTTGTTATCTGTGGGAATTACTAAAGATGATGAGGTTAAGCATCAAAACTGTAAGTCAAATGAGCTATTGGGGAGGGAATGGAGGGCTGAAATTACCTGAGTTTCTTCTAGCTTTGCTGCTGTCCTTCCAGGTACTGACTCAGTAAAGTCCTCCATGGTCAAGGACTGGACTTGGACTAGACTGGGCAGGTTGCACAGATACAGTGATCCCTGGTAGCCCTGGCTAAATGGGAAGAGTCTAGCCCTTCCGCTGTAGGTCTGTTGGTGGAGCAGGCCCTATTTATTCATATAGTTGGGTTCAATTGCAAAGTCTTTGCAGCCAGGACTGTTTTCAATCTGGTGGCTCTGCCCAGAATAACAGGAGCAGGATGTCAGTGAGAGCCTCTAGAGCTTCTGTAGCACAAAACCTGATCAGTCCCTAATAGATAATGTTTCCTGTCTCCAGCTTTTAAGGGAGCCTTGTGAGCCAAGCGGATGGAACTCTTCCTCTGTTTTACTGGTTGCGGTCTCCAGTTCAGGCAGGTATAACAGGGAAGAGCCTGTTCTGCTCCCTCAGCTCTGGATGCTCTCCAGATGCCACTGGGGAGACCTGATGGCTCCTGAGAAAGAAAATATGCCCACAAAGGCTCAATGGAGTGATTACCAGCTATCCCACATGTTGGGAAGCCAGTGCTATCTCTGGCTCTGCCCTGATGAAGCTAGGTACCAGCTGGCAAAGGGCCAGGCCTGGGCGAAATGGTTGGGCAGAGTGCGACAAGAGAGCCAGAGGAAGGAAGTGAAGTCAGGCTGTGATCCACACCAGATGCATACTCTAGACCTCATTACCCCCTGACCATGTGCTGCCCTCATCTGCAGCTACAACTGCTGGGGAGATGCCAAACATGGCAAGGATCAGGCCCATTCCCAAAGCTCTCTTTAGCCCTTTCCGCAGGACCCTGTGCTGGCTAAATGGGTAACACAGAAATCTCCCTCCATGTCAGATATAGTGTAGTGTTGAAGCATGGTGATTTGTAGAGACTGGTATGATCTCTCCTGGGCTTGGTGGACAGCCAAGGCTGAAAATGTTGGGTGGGTAGCAATCACAGAAAAATATTTGCATTGTTTATGAGCATATGAAGAGTCATGGGGTTTAAAGGATATACCCACCCAGTAGAACCAGTAAGTAGTTGCTTAAGACAGTCTACTGCTGGGACAACCAAATCATGGCTTCAGGGAAAAGAGGAGAGAAGATCGTGTTCCCTGCTGGCAGCAGCCTTCCCTCTGTCCTGAAATCCTACAGGACCAGGAAGACTTGGGCTCCGATCCTAGGATCATGGTTGAGGAAAGATGAGGTGAGCTCAGAGAGGTGGCTCCACAGGAGCTTCTGACACCAGGAGATGAGGTGAAAGAGCTGGAACTTGGCTTTGATATGACTCTTAGTAGCACTGATTTGTTCAAAGAAGTAGCAGTTGGAAGAGAAGGGAGCAGAGCAGACACAGCTGTGGGGTAGGAGGCCAAAGAAGAAAGAGGCAAGACAAGGGAAGACCACTGCTAGGACACTAATTCAGCCAAGACAGCTGCACATCTCCTGGTGTGTTGTTTTGGTTTTTTAAATCGATTTTTATACTAACAGACAAGCTCATTTTTATTTTTTTTTTAATGTTTCTCTAGTTCTGAGTCATTTCCTGGGGGGCTGGAAGAAAGCAGCATTTTTCTCAAACCTTTAAAACAAAGTTTTAGGGTTTGGGTTGAGCGTCCTTTGTTTCTTTCCTTTCAGTGAAACAGCTACATTTGAAAACTGTAGCTTGAAAACCAAACCCAAAGGTTGACAACCCCAGAACTTCTGCCAGAGTTGCTCTTTGCTCACAGAAATGGGTGTCCATAATGAGTAGGCCAAAGCAGCATACAGGGTGAAAGATGAGACCTGCCGAAGCAGCCCGGCACCAGATGGCTGTGTCATCATATTCACCCGCAGAGGTTGATGCTTTTCCCAGCTCCTACACACGTCACTGGTGTTGGTGTCTGTCTGCTCAGCAGCATGCTGACCTTTCTTTTGGTTTACACATCAAAACGGACTGCTTTGGCTGTGGTTTCTAGCTCAGTAAACCACAGGCATTTGTACTGTAGTGGACATAGCTGGCTATAGCCTCCAAAGCACCATGTATTAGTAGATGCTGTGGTCTGGAGAAGCCTGGTGTGAAACAATGGTGAGTCTGGATCTTTTTTTTTGCCAGAAAGCTGGAAGTACAAAGTGTTAGTTAGGTCTTTGACTAATAAAAGTGGACATCTGCAATCAAGCTAATGTGCTAGAGGCTGGAGCCTAATTGAAACCAAAGAAACAAAGGGGCTGCCAGCCTCAGAGCAGCACACATTGACAATTAAGAGATGCTTTGGCTTTTTGAAAATAAACTGCAAATAATCACCTTTAAGGAGAAGTCATATCACCCATGAGGCTCCCAAGCACCAGTTCTGTCCTGTCTTGCCTGTGGATTTGGGACAGAAGAACTACCAGCAATGGTGAAACGAATGGCAAAAACCTTCACTCCCACATCAGTGGGTCCTGGACTCATGTTGTGGCCCTTTTTGTTACAAATGTCCTGTAGTACTTGGTGTCCAGAATGTTTTACACCTAGTTTCTTGACAGAGAAGGAAGAAAATATACATTTTCAGAGTTATTGCTTGTATGTCACACAGTTGGCATGAGAAGGACCATTGCTCTTGCTTAGGCGTTGGTGTAATTAAGCAGGAAGTCAGAGGTAGTGCAGTTACCTCAGATCCAGAGAGGCTTATCTCACTGCAATATTTAGCCAGTTATCCTCCCTAAATAGTATGCGATGAAGCCGGTAGCGGGAGAAAACTTTTAAAGGTATGCTCAGTGATACAGTGAATATGGCAGAAAAATACAAAAGGTATGCTGTGACCATGCACAAAGCAAACTTGATCCTGCCTCTACCCCCAGTTTGTCATGACTGTCTTTCATGGCACTGATGCTTGCTAGGATCCTTAGCACTTCATGATGTGTAGTAACACCTGGAATTAAATGCTAGCCTGAAGCACTAACCCTTGAAAGCCAACAAGCACATGGTCAACATCAGGCGCCTGTAAAATACAGCCTGGCTGTTGGAAACAGCTTAATTTCTTATTCACAACAGATTGTATTAACCCATTCTCAACTAAATTGGCAAGAGGCAGTGATGTGATGTTTTAAAACAAAAGGAAGCAAGCGGATACTGGTGACTAATTTCCTCCAAACAGCATCATGTGGGTCATCTTCCTCACATCTTGTTTGTTCTGCTGATTAGTCTTTAGGTAGATATTCATATATCAACTATTATTTTTCCTCTGTGAATTGTGGTTTTCTGCCCTGCTGCAAATTCAGTTTCCAGTGTTACTGGGAAGCCAACTGCTTTCTAACTACGCAAAAGATGAACTGTGTTTCCTGCAACTTCAACGTCTCTAATGCTAGTGGTTGAGTAATAGCCGGACACAACAGTGTCTTCTGTAAGGAAATATGCCAACAGTTGTTGCTTAGAATTGAATAAAAGTTACTCCTTTTTTTATAGTAAAAAAAAAAGTGTTTTGAATGATTTGAAGCTGCAATAACAGTCCTTTCCAGTCAAAGCTTACTCTTCACAACAACAGGATGCACTGCTCTATTTAAGCAAGTAATAATATTGGTTTTAGTCACTACACACACTTTGCTTCCTGTTGGGGGTATTGCACAGAAAACTAGTTCATTGAGTACCAGATAACTAATTCATTGCTTATTTACAGATTTTATATACAGAGATGTTTTCCAATACCATCTGTGTGTAAAGAAAATGTATCTTTGCAACAAGCTAGCATGATCTGTTTATTGGCTGTATGAGCTACAACGAAATTAAGGAGAGCAGCCTCTACAAGTCTGTGTTACTTTGTTAGGATTAACAAGGCTGTGTGTATTTAGGGTCTCTATGCTTCTGACTTACAGTCAGAAAAACTGACTATCACAAAATGTTCATTCTGGTTGCACAAGACCTTTCACCCAAAAACTCCCAGTTGCTTAAAAGGCAATTACTGGGAGCAATGGCAAGATCTAGCCTAAGGGCTTCTGCATTTGCCCCCTGCTAATGATCTGCTGGAATTCTGTCATCTCACAAAACATGAGCACAGCAGCAGTAATTCTAATGTCTGTCGTTGCTTCCTTACTTATATTAACAGTTTATTTCATGGCTGACTTCCCGTCTTGCTAAGTTAGTTTCTCCATGTCAGGCTGTACTAATGAACAGAGAACAGATTCTGACCTCTCTCTTTTCCAGGGGAAAAAAACACAAGCTCAGCTGAAGTCAATGGAGCTGCTCTGCTTTGACCCGGGTGTAAGGAGGATAAGCAGGATCCTCATCTGCCTTCAGGTAAATGCCCTGGGGTTTTTCTTTCAGCCAAGCAAATGCTGCTGCTGACATTCTCCTAGAAGCAATTAACATTTCAATCATCTTCGTATTTCAGCAATGCAGTTCCTGTCATAGCGCTGAAGCAATAAGACATGACAGGCAATGCCCCATGCCTCCAAACTGAGAGGCTGTAATGACATCCCGAGGACTTCCCTTAAGGTGGAGGATAGGCTGGACCACCTTTAGAGAGACACTGGGGAAGGAGACGCTTATCAAAGCTGGTGACAACTTTTAGCATGCATAGGTAAACCAAGGCTGTGCTGTGGTTTCTAGATTTTTAGAGAAATGTATATTTTTTTATCTATCTGTATGTCAGTGGAGGGTGTTTAATCAGAAAACTATCATCATTTGCAGATCCAGGGTTTTATTCATCATCTGAAGTCAGACTGAACATCTGTCAGCCCAGACAATTGTTTTAACATCTTCCTGCTGAGCTAGCCACTGCTGGGAAGAGGAAGGTGGTGTTAAGACACCATCTAACCCTAAGGGACACATTTCCTTGTCAGTGTAAATAGGGAGCCTCCTTTCAGTCCAGCAGAGTTAGAAATAAAACTGTGATCAGAATGGACCGTGCTTTTCCCCAGTGCCAAAATGGGAACTGGGTCACACTAAATAGTGCACATAAAGGGGAAAAGAGGCTCAAGGGGAACGTTGTCACTGAACTTCACCTTTATCCTCTTGTCACATGAATTACGGTCCCTGAACACTTCAGCTCAAACCATGTTTAGCTCCTTTATCTCTTACACCCCTTCACCATCCTGTTTGTTCCTTTGGCCAGGTCTTTCACTGCAGTTAATTGACCTGGTTTCACTGATTTCTGTGAAGATCGGCCAAGCCTCTCAAGCTGGAGAAGTGGGTCACCATGCACCATGTACACCAGGGCTTTGGGGGGAGGTTGCCTTGAGTCCCTCTTAACTGAGGAGCCTTTTTGCTGACACGTGAAGCTGCATTTTCTCCTCTATTTCACCAGACTATGATGCTTCCGTAGAAGGAATGCCTGGGAAGTGGTGTGAGGAAAAGGAGGGTCTGGTGACTCAACATCTGTGCAAACCCTACATATGTTGGTTCAGATAAATTTAACTCCAGACTTCTTCAGTTTGAGAAGCTTCAAACAGAAAACAAAACCAGCAGATTGTAGCTCCCCAATGAAGGGGTTATTGCCAAACGGATGCGCTGCATCAAGCACTTACAAGAAACAAACTTATCCAAGAGGGAAGAATAATCCTTCTGTTAAAATTACTGCAAACAAAACTGTGAATGTTGCCATCGCTGTTGAAATTTGACAGAATGGAATTTCCACCCCTCAAAAAACTGCATTCTGTCCAAAGTGGGAAGCAGAAAGCTTTTTATTTAATTAAAAAAAAAAAAAAAATAAAAGAAGCTACAGGATCTACCCTTCAAACCCACTTTCTTTTTAGACCAGGCTAAAATTATACTTAGAGTTGTATTAATTAAGCTAAATGATCAGCTCTGAAGAGACCCAGTCCAGAAAAACAGGAAAGTAACTTAGTGGACAATTTTATTCATTGCAATGGAAGTACTGGACTGTTTCAAGCTAAGCACCAGATTAAGTACTTAAGCAGTTCAGAGCCAAAATTCATCCAATTTCTGTAAGATAAAAACCAATCCCATTTCAGTGCAACTAGTGTGTTTTATCAGCTTCCTTTTGAAATATAGACCATAATACCAATTTGTGAAACAGACACCTCCCAGGCTGAATCACAGAGGTGCTTGGAAATGGTAGTGATATTTGCTACAAAACAAAGGATCCCAATGAAAATTATGTGTTTCACACAGGAAGTTTTCCAGTGTCTTCCTGAACTTGTCAGACCTTCCTCTTTTGCTTTTCAACTCTGCAATGCAAGGTGGTAATGGCTATGGTTAGACTGAAAAAGGATGGCTAAGTGGAGCAGCAGACACTTAGAGCTACCTACCACTCTTGGTTCACCTATTCACCAGTGCTTTCACTACAGGATGTACCTTTGGTGACAGTAAGAAGCTAGCAAGCCCCTGGTCTAGAATGCAGCTCTGGCATTTAACATGATCACTGAAAGCCTTGCTGGTGCAAATCAGGCTGACTCAGAGGTGTCTTCTCTTGATAATCAGTGCACACAGATCAGTCAGCCTGGTCACTGCTCTGAAGGGCTGCGAGGCGTCATGTCCTATGGTATTTGTAGAATCCAGTCTTTATTACTTGCTAACAGACTTAAGCACTAAACTTGTTTTACTACTGAATGACGTGAAAGCAGTGAGATATTCATATTCTCTGGTTGTGGGAGAGTAAGGAATGTGTCCTTAGCTGTAGGATGGTGCTCAGCAAATCGTGATGGTCACAGAATTGTTCCAATTACACCATCAGTATATCTATGATTAATACGCGAAAGCCAAGGCAGGCAAACATATGCTTTGGGTTTTATCTTCTGCACAAACCTCTAATCTTTCCTCAGGATATTACCACGTAGTTTATCAGGACCTTGGCACTAATTTTTAAAACCTCAAGGTTTCAGCCAAAAAGATCTGGCCATTTACTGTTTTTCTTTCTTATAAAGGCAGTTGTTGTGGTTACCTCATTAACTATTTAGCATCCTGCAATCAGCTTAGCTTGGCAAAACCTCAGCATTGTAAACCCTGAAGGGAAAATATCATTGCTCTCCCTAACTGATACATTTTGGTTAGTAGAGATTTAAAAACAACAGTAACAAACCCTTAATAAGATATGGTTGGCTAGAAGATACAAAATAACTATTAAGCTGATTTACATCTGTTTCCTTTTGCATTTATTTTGCCTTATCTAATTGCATACTTAACATTAATCTACTATCACAGTAACTTGGATTATTCTGTTTCTGTGTTTAGCCTCCATGTCACTGTCACTGAATTTCATTACTGCTACTTCACTAGCAAATAATGAGTGTCTTTTCAGTTATATACCAGACTCCTTCAGTCAAAGTGATTAGCAGAATGTCTCTTTAAAAACCTCTGTCAGACAGAGGTATGAAGAATGACTGTGCTAGCTCTAGTCAGTTCTGTATTGCCAGGGAGTTCAGATGTGTAGAGTCTGGTAATTATATATAAAGTAGGATGATATTCTGAAAAATTGGGGGGCAAATCTGTGGAAAGCTTTGTATGCTTCAGAAAAAATCCCATCTTTTGAGCAAGCACATTTCCCTTAAAGTGCTTCATATATAACAGTGAATGTTGCACAGCAGGTTCAGCAAAAAAGGGAGAAAATTAATATACTTTTTAGTAGGATTGTAAATAATTTTGGGTGGTTTTTTTTTTTTTTTCCCTTTTCTGGCAAAGTTGAGTCAAAAATATGGTAAATGTTCTTTCCCTTTAAAGAAATGTGAGAGGCTCTTCTACTCATCATTTTTCAATGTTGAGGTGCAAAGGGCTCACTCATGGGGTATGGGCTGGGGTAGGATTGGCATTTTGCCACACAGCAGAGCACTTGCCCACCCACAGCAGTATAAGGGGCTCTCAAGGAGACCCTCTTAGCCATCCTGGCTGGCCAACATCTGTGGCAGGATGTGTCATCTAAAGACAAAATGGGGCCTGAAAATAAGAATATTAAGTGCTTCCTGAAAAGGGAGGGCTGACCTGAGCATGGCCCCTGTACTCAGTGTTGTGTTTGTTTGCAACTCTGCAGGTGCCAAGTGTGTTGATCATATTAGAAGAGGATAAACGCAACCTGATAAGGACAACTGCGATGTTCTGCATGTTGGTGAGAATAATCAATTGCAAAGGAATGGAGTGCAGAGCCAGCAGAGCGAGCAGCAGTTGGCTGAAAAGGTATTGGGGCTGGAGTGGACTGCATGCTCAAGGCCAGCAGTGTCATGCAGCTCTTCATAACAAAAAAAAAAAAAGAGTAAAAAAAGGCAAACATCATACTGGGATAGATCAGTGAAAGTGTGGTCTGTAAGATGCGAGATCATCCTACTATTCCACTCAGCATGAGTAAGACCACAGCTGGGGTGCTATATCGATCCTGGGCTATGCACTTGAGGACAGTTGTGGTCAGCTTAAGAGGTGAAGAACAGGGATGACTCAGAAAGAGAAGTGACAATGAAAAGTTGAAGGAACATCTGAAGAAATGACTGACAGAGGCAGTGACAAATCTGTAAATAGCTGCTATGAAGATGAAAAGAGACTAATCTTAATGACAATTGCAGGAAAGGTAGTGGTGGGCCTAAATAGTAGAAACATATAGCTTGGAAATTAGAAGAATTGCCAATAGGAATAATGGAGGCACAATGGAATGAGCTGTCTGAGGTTGCCCCACTAGATGTATTTAAGAACAGGTTAAAACATGTTAGTTAGACATTGCATGGGTTTGCCTCCAAGCAAGACTGGGAGACCTCCTAAAAGGTCACTTGTTCCTATTTTTTTAAGCTTCAGTTCTTGGCTGTAATTGTACTGTTTTTTTAAAATATTAGGGAGCAAAAGACTTTTAAGTTCCCCTAGATGATGAACATCAGGGTTTGATCTTTCAGAAACCACAATGACTAAAAGCCATGTGTGGGAATTCCATTTGCCAGCAAAATAACTGAGAGCAGGGCACTCTCTCTGTGAAGCGCCACCTCTTCTCCTCTCAGAATGTGTCGAGCTAAAAAGTGCAATATTTGGTTTCAAGTAATGGCAACAGTTGCAGCGAGTTGGTGAGGAACATAAGCCAGAATGTGTCATTTCTGCTGCCTCCACTTGCTCTTCTCATAGAGAGGAGCATCTCTGCTCATCTTCTCTTCCCATGAATAGCTGCTTTTCCCATTGGTCCCACATGCCCAATCCATTCAGCCAGTGCTGCATACAGAGTACACTTGCACTTTCAGCAGCAGTTTTGGTAGCTTCATCTCTTCCCTCCAGATTCATTTTTGCCAGCATCTACTGACAAGTAAAGTAACCCCCAGTAGCACCATGAGAGAAGAAGAGGGAGTATGTTCCACAGTTCAGTTCCCTGCTTCCTTATGCACTGATAAAAGCATGTTGCCAGAACACAGGTTTTATCCTGGCTTTCTAGGGAGAACAGGGAGATAACAGCTTAAAGAGCAGGAAGGGAGGAGCAGGTAATGCTTGAGAATTGGGTGATCTGGTTTCCAGCCTCAAAGGCACACTCCAGGTGAAAACATGGGACCTGCTTTTTAGATTTACAACTCTTTCAGTCAGTCCAGGGATGGTCTCAGACCAATGGCATTTTTTGTTTGTATGATTTGAAAAAAACAAGTTTGAATAATGTTGAGAGAAAAAAATCGATCCACCTCCAATAAGGAATAAAAAAACCCCCACCCTTTACACTTCTGTACTTGAACTTTTAACAAATTAAACAGGGAAAGAAATTCAAGCTGACTGTTAGAAGTTTATTCCAGCTGAAGAATATGTTTCAGAGTTTGGATGTGAAAACTGTCTTCATTTGACAGACAGCTGGAAGGGTACACATACTTCAATAAAGCACTGCTGATTTCTGACAGGCAGTCGCATGCATAAGCCTAAATATACCTTTCTATTTTAATTACATGACCAGTACTCATGAATGGGAGCTTGAGCTTTATCTCCACTGACCCTGAAAATCACCTGGAGGTTTATGATGAAATGAAGCACATGTTTTCTGTGGTTTTTTGTTTTTGTTTTTGTTTTTCCTGGAAAATAAGGAAACACAAAGAACTTGTTTTTATTTTTTCAGGAAACAGTGTGATACACCATCACAGCTTCACTATTGCAAGAAAATTTGGAGGTTCTCCACTTTGGTTTCTGTGACATACATGAGATTTGGCAGTTGTACACAGATACTTAGATCAAGATTCCATACATGACAGCCTCTGCCCTGAACATCTGCATGAGTATACACCACACGAGCAGTAATTCTGGCTCCTGCTGATAAATCAGATCATCTTAATAGATGAATTATTGCAATGAATGAAAATTCTGTCTACACCTCTGTCACATTAATGACTGTAGTGGTGCCCAAACACACAAAAAAGCTTTTAATTGATAGCTTGATTATGGGTCTAGCCACAGTGATACAGAGCTCTGGCTCTGTGCAGATTTTGTCTGGGAGCAATGCCTCAGTGCTTACTCCAGTTTCAGACCTGAACAAAGGCACTTGTTATAGACTGATAGAGGTCCTAAAAAGTCTTTACAGTGTGTATGCTACATGCACACTAAATGCATGGATAGTAGTGGAGTGTGGATCAGCTTTCTCTGAAGGTCATCACGACTGCTGGGAGCCCACAGGAAGCCAGGGATCCTAGTGAACATCCTGGATGTATCAGCAGAACAAAAATTCTCACAAAGGGATAGGATGGAAAATGGTGGACAAGGGACAAGGACATGCATGCAAAGAGAAATACAGCTACGCAAATGTGCTCAGCAGGGACCGATTTTCCTTTCACCCCCAATATTAGGTGACTGCATGGTAGGTAGAAAAAGTTATTTTGATGTGGTCTGCTACAGTTAGTATTCCTTTCTTTCCCACCCACCCCCGGGCTTTCTATTGTTTTTGTTTGTTTTTTTTTTTTTCCCTGTTTTTCTCTCTCCCTTATGTACTATCTTCACATCCATGTCTTACCTATTTTTCACAATTCTTTTCCCTAAGGCTTTCACTATCTTCATCCCAGTTCTTCCCAATACAGCTATGCAGATTTACAAACCCTTTCATTTCCCATGACACTGTTTACATTCACAGGGCAAAAATGAGCCTTTTCTTGCCAGGTTACACAGCCATCCTCCCTGCCACCCCTGAATGGCTCCAGACTGCTGTTCCCTTGAGGACTAAACTAGATTAGGATTTATTAAGCCCTTAGCCCCCAGTTTGAATGATATATGGCCTCAGGCAGTAAGCACTAAGGTGAACGCACACTGCTTCTTTGTAAAGGCACAGTAAACCATGTTACAGAGTGCACTGCCCCAGGCATTTCTAAACTATCTTGTCCTGTGTCAGCAAGATGCCTTAAAAACTCTCTATAGAGCTTTCATTGCTTCATTCTCCCTAGGCTCCCACCCTGTGCATTTCAATACAGTAAGGAAAGGATTCCATCCTTAATTGAAATTCCTTTCATCAGCCCTGATATAGCCTGAACAAAGATACTGACATGAAAAAGCAGTCAAGAACATATCTTTAAAATGTCAATTTGCCAGTGACAGGCATAAAATGCAGTCACTGCAAATCAAGACTCTAAACCCTCATTGTTTATCACAAAGCTGCCACTTCCCCATCTCCCTCCCCACCCTCACATAAGTTTTGATGTTTGTACATCTTTGTTTTCCTTTCCACATTCTTCTCATACTGTATTCACAGCAAATCTGAAGCTAGCTGTGTCTTGATTAAACTCCAGCAAACCTTAGAGAAAGCCCTTTTAAACCCTGAATAGTACCATTTATCTTAGGTTCATACTTCTGAAGAAATTGATCATTCAAGCTCTGTGGGTTTCTCTGCTTTTTTTTTTTTTTTTTTAATTCATTCTGGTAAAGTAATTGATGCACTTTTGTCCATACAGACCTTTTAAGCTTATTGCTACATGGGTTTACATGGGAGGAAATTGCTACGATCTTGCTCAGCTGCAGCAAGAGAAATAAGAAATGAAAAGTTTTTTCCACTGGTACAATGTAGGGAAGGATACACCCAACAGAAAAAATCATAAGCATGGGCCATCTACTGGAAGTTATATTTAGTTTGCTTATCCTGGGTGACTAATGTAGGTGTTACACCTTAAAGTCTTGACCGTACAGAGACCGAGGTCTGGGGCTCTGGCTGCTTGTGTGATCGGAAACACACAACACCTTGAGCTTCAGGGCCAAGCTAAGCATGAAAACTAGCTTAAGCAATTTGCAAAGGAGGCTGCTGTGTTGGACTGCCAAGGATGGATGAAGAGCCGTGGCCCCAGTGCCTGCTTTGTTCATGGCAGCATCTTGAAAGGGATGCAGAGTTCACTCTTGCCAACAGGGAGGCTAGTCTCTGCAGGGTGGAGGACCTGTCATATCCAAGAAGTAGCAGTTCCTGCCCTGACTCTCCCTTCCTCCTGGCAACAGAAGGACCAGCAAGGCCAGCCACAGGGGACTCAGCGTCTGGCTCCCCTTCCTTGCTCTATCCCTTCCATCTACTGTTTCCTCTGCAGCAGTGGTTTAGCATTAGCTTGGCATCAATTTGCTGGGGGCAGCAATATTAAATTTTACACACCCATCTGAGAAACCTGAGACTGGCTTTGTGTTTCTGGAGAGCTGTTCACTTTAAAAGATCTTAAGTTATCAACACCTTTTTGTTACTCCTTATTAGTCATAGAAAGAGATCAAATTAAGATCTAATTATACAACTAAAGACAAGCAAATAGAAGAATACATGGAAACCACAAGATGCTGCTGGCCAAAGAGCACAAGGCAGGTATAATTTTCAATACCTGATTCTCTACCAGCTTTGGCTGGTTCAGCTTTTGCAGGTTCTCTCTTGAGGACTCTCTGAACCATCCCCATCATATGATCCCTCTCTTTTTATTAACTCCACTGGCCAATGCTGTGCCAGTAGCACATCCCATACAACACCTTTAACTTCATTGACAACATTTTCAGAGTTTCTCACACAACCTTTCATCTTCTTTTCACTAGCACTAGAGTGGTATCTGTCTCCAGTGAGTTCTTGATGCCACCATCTGTTGCTTGTGCATTGTCTTTTTCAGACACACCACTTCCTGCTACATCTGCTTCTCTTACATTTGGGAAGGTCCCCTTCCATCCCCAGAGCAATTTTTTTCCCTTTCGAATCCTTCCTTCAAGCACACCTTCACCCAGAAACTGCAAATAATGTGACAGCAACTTGGGTGATGACAGTACTGCCAAGTATGCTGATTAATAGTGCTTCATTATTTCCCCACCACCTCATTTTGGTAGACTCCAGTGTGATGTCTCACCTTGTGCTTCAGCTGGGGGTGTGGGAGGGGGGGGTGGGGGATGGGGGGATACTGTATTTCAGTGTTGCTACTGATTTAACATGTTCTAGAAGAACATGTGAGTGGTGTCACTCAGGGATCGGTGTTGGGACCGGTCTTGTTCAACGTCTTTGCTGCTGACATGGACAGTGGGATTGAGTGCGCCCTCAGCAAGTTTGCTGACGACACCAAGCTGTGTGGTTCAGTTGATATGCTGGAGGGAAGGAATGCCATCCAGAGGGACCTCGACACACTTGTGAGGTGGGCTGATGCCAACCTCATGAAGTTTAACCATGCCAAGTGCAAGGTCCTACACCTGGGTTGGAGCAATCCCAGGCACAGCTACAGGTTGGGCAGAGAAGAGATTCAGAGCAGCCCTGTGGAGAAGGACTTGGGGGTGTTGGTGGATGAGAAAATGAACATGAGCCAGCAGTGTGCGCTTGCAGCCCAGAAAGCCAACTGCATCCTGGGCTGCATCAAAATGAGCATGACCAGCAGGTCGAAGGAGGTG